CTAAGGGGTATATGTATTGGTAAAGGGAAGGAAAATGGCACAAGAAATCTCCTGCAAAGATACCCCTTCCTGCTATGTTCCAGCAATGCATTTTCTTTCCCTATTCTTCAACAGTTCTAGTGGTGGGATTCAGCCAGTTCGCACCAGTTCGGCAGAACCAGTAGCTAATTTTTTGTTGCTCAGGGCCAGAATGGATTTCCGGAAGTGGCATCCAAACAGAGAACCGGTTGTTCACATATTTGAATCCCACCACTGAACATTTCTGAGTTTATTCCTTCTCTGGTAAGGAAAACGATGGTGAATGGTATGGCATAAATGAAGACATGGGAAGATTGCAATTATAAAATAGTATTATGTAGACCACCTAATCCCTAAAATAGGATTAATGAAAGCCTTTTTAAAGGGATAACCAATTGTTCTGGAGAGGGCATTCATCATGTAATTCAGGATTTAAAATGATTGCATGGATCAATATTTTTGGTCAAAACAGCAAAACAGTCATTTAACATGTGACGTTTTAAGTTCCCCCAAACACTCCCAGTATTTGGTTTTTCGTTGAAAAAAAAAACAATAGAAAAAAAACTAATCAGTGGAGAAAGCAGTGAGAAGATGTCTGAAATTGTATAGGGTTTCCTGCCTGAGCAGGGGGTTGGACTAGAAGACCTCCAAGGTCCCTTCCAACTCTATTATTATTATTAAGATAACAGGAGGGGAGCCTCAGGTCCTTCATCATTTTTAAAAGGCCTTTTGAATAAAAAGCTTTGACTATGTTAAAGTAGAAACATCATCTGAGACTCTGAGAGACATTGGCTAAACAGATTTGGAGAAAAAGAGAGAATATGGACACACTGAACATATGAAAATGAGACAAGGTAAGAATTTTAGTGTTACATTCAGTAAAGAGAATTGAGAGAATCATCTATTGTGAAGAAAAGGGGTCTCAAAATGGATCTGTGGGAATTTCTTTTTTCTGAATCTGAATGTATGTATGCACACATACATACAAATCTTTCAGCTATATCCTTTACCTTTCCATGGTAAGCATTATAAAAAACAGAGAAAAGGAATAGGGAATGGTAAACCATAGGAATTTAGGCATGAGATCAGAAAAAGCAAAGAAACCACAGCTAAATTTTGTTTATACCAAACATTTCATTATACCTCCCCAGAGCTTTTCATTCTTGCAAAACATGAATAATATGTGATTCCTCCATATCCATACAATGCTTCATACATTGCCTTTGGCTCTTTAAACTTTGCACCTCCTGCTTTTTAAAGAATTCATCATCTTATTAAGACTTTCCTGTCTTCTTCCTCTCAACCCATTTACTTTTGCTTAACACATTTGTTTTGTGATTCAGTTCTCACCGATTCCCTCTATATGAATACCTTAATATACTTTTCTACTGCTCACTGTTTGTATGTAATCCATATTCATCCAGTACCCTTTAATCTGATCCTTCTGATTCATCAACTGCGACATACCTAATTCTCACTTCTACATAACAAAATGAGAAGAAATACATTCTTTTATGTAATCCTTTTGTGAAGTATCCATTCCTCATGATAGACCCCTTACCACCTACCACTTTTCTATTAGTATTTGTATGTCTGAAAAGTTCTGCATCCATTTCCCTATTTTTAGTAAGCATTCTACTGAGGTATACTTTTATCTCTTTATGTACAAGCTGCACTTGTTCATTCCGTTTCCCCATCAAGTACTTGGTTTTGATATATTAGTTTTCAGATCCATACTCTTATTGCAGCATTCACTGTCTCTAACATGCATTGAAAATCATTCAGGTTCTTACCCAGCAACAATCATTGTTTGCGTACAAAGTGACACACAGATTTATGTCCCTAACAACAGCACCTCAGTAACATTACCACAAGCATTCAGTTGTTCGATAAGCAATTCATATTTTAACATTTTTCCTGTTATATCATCCATTCATGCAGCCTTAGCCATTTTTAATATTCCCACATTATGTATGATTTCCTTGTCATCAATGTTTTCTTGACCACTTAAGATTTGTAGCATTCATTTTTATCATCCCTCATACAAATCTCTAGTACTATATCCCCTCACTTCACCCAGATAATCCCATCATTTCTGTTATATTTCTGTCACCATTGGTCTTTCTCTCTTTTAATTTTGACCGTTTCTCAATCCCCTTGCCAATATTCTTTGAAACTTTTTTCCTATATATGCATTATATAATTTGCAGCAATCACTTCCTGACATGCATTTTCCCTTCATCTACAGCCTCTTTTACTTCATAATTATATCAAAATTCATTTTTTCGTACTTCATATTAGTGTTACACACTAATCCCACACATCTGATAAACTAAAGAGACAAAAAGCAATGATTTTAGGAAGGTATCTTTAATGCCAGTCTGGGATTAAAACTACAAGGTGGATGAGAATGGCAAAATCAGCCATTTACGCCGTGAGTATCCATCTGAAGAATGTGGGGCTGGAGGGTTCATGGCTAGCCACTTTGATAGACATTATTGTGGCAAGTGCTATTTGACATACTGCTTCAATAAACCAGAAGACAAGTGAATATGTCTATTGTAATAAAAAACCTTTAAACATTTTTTAAAAAAAACAAAATAGGTTGTCCAAAACTGTAGGAATAAACTCCCAACCAGAGTTAAATGAATCTTTCAAATGCCCAAACATTAAAAAAATATTTTCCAAAATTCAGCCCGTTCCAAAATTCAATATTGAGAAGAATGTAGCATTATCTTCCCCACTGTGGAAAGCAATACAGTATTGCCTAGTGCTCTAAATTCTAAGTAGAGACTTAAGTACAGTGAAATGCACTTTGATAGCACCCTCAAAGTTGTGATAACTATTTACAGTATATCTTTTAAATTCTATTCATTTGGAAATAATGAAAAGTAGTCATTGTCAATATAATTATATAAATATCCATGCCAGTCTGAACATAAATCAGCTAAATGAATTTTGAGGAATACACACACAAACACACACCATATGCTGGAGAAAAATATTGCAGTGATGTATTCATTATTTACTTGGAAATATGTATTGATTCCTAGTTGTGGATTGTATATGTATAGAAATATCTTACCTGTGTGGGAAATGGAATCTTCCACTATTTAGCAAGCCTTTGTTGAATGAGTCATCCTGGCTGCATCTTATTGGTTCACATAGTTAGCATCCAAGGAATTGCTGCCTGGTAGACCTGCCAGGCCCTGCTTCATTCACAGAAATGCTGGTATGCTAGCCAGCTCTTTCATTCACATATACAGAAATCCATTCATATTTTCCAGTTTTTTTGTTTTTTTAAAAAAATCTACTTTTCATGAAGGGAATAATTTCTGAATGACAGAGATTGCGGCTTATTGCAGAACACAAGATCAGAAACGATCCATACCATGTATATTTGCTGTTGCTAGGGTAGCAGGAGAAAAGGGGAAAAAAATGAATGCAGTGTGGAAGCTGTAGCAGGTTTGCACTGTGATGAAAGGCTATTCTGCAGATCACTAGAAATTTGCTTTTTACAATGAATGGGACATTTTCATTCATCACTGCTGGGATCAGAGGTGCTGCCTTCATTTATGTATCATAAATTTGTCTCATTAAATACCTGCATTGAAAGATGCTGTTGTGTGATTGCTTTTTCTGTAATTCAGCCTTTACTCTGAGAAAACTGTCGTATGTTCTCTGGATAATATATTAAGTTGTGTGCTGCCATTCTCATTTCTGTTTTTTTTGTTTGTTTGTTTAAGTTGCAGTAGGATTATTCTGAAATTTGCCTTTTTGGTCTAATTGTTCAAAATCATAGTTTAAAATATAAATACATGAATTTAATAAAACATGAGCAAGATTAGCTTTCCATAATAATGTTACATTTTGCATGATTACAATAAATACATTACACATGTTTTAAAGGTTGATGTGTTGCTTATTTCTTCATATTAGGAATTTTATGCATCTTTTATTATTATTGATGAAAATCAAAATGCTTATTAATGGATTTATTTTCAGTTTGGAAAGGAGGCATTCCTATTTTGTCTTAGATATTTTTCAGTTGTCCTTTAGCATTTCTGAAATATTAGATTAAAGTAAATATGCATGTGTGTGTATGTGTGTGTGTGTTAATACAAATTATTTAAGCCGTATGTTTTTCATACTGTGCAGCACAACATTTAATATAAAACTGTTGGCACTAAAATACCATAATCAGAACACTGTGGTTTTGAAAGAAAGACTTCACTTTGGTGATTATGGTGACAAACATATGGCTATTTTAATCGATAATGAGCTTTTCTGAAAGAGAGAGAGAGAGAGAGAGAGAGAGAGAGAGAGAGAGAGAGAGAGAGAGAGAGAGAGAGAGAGAGAGAGAGAGATTCTGTACTATATAGAATTTGTAGCATTGCTTCTAATTTGGATAGTTGCACACTGGGACATATTTTATAAAGTTATTGGAATAGGCTGGTACTTTGCATAAGGAAAAAAGTTAATGCAATTGCTTTGAGCCATTGCAGACATCCACCAGGAAGGAAGGAAGGAAGGAAGGAAGGAAGGAAGGAAGGAAGGAAGGAAGGAAGGAAGGCTAAATATCTGTTTCAAATAGGGAAAGGAAATGTGAGAATTGATTGGAGGTAGTGTGCTGTAAGTGGGTGGATTTTTTTTTCCTTACAGGAAGTGCTTTGCAGCATTCACTGAGCCTTTTGTTGAAAAGGGTCCTTCTCATTTGTGTGAGTCATGCTTTTGCTGTGAGAGACTTGGCAGCTCTGAGCTGGACTGGGATCTTTCTGTTGCACAGAAAATTACCGCTTTGCCTAGCCTTACCATGGAACCTTAAGCAAAATTCCTTTCATTTTTCTCTTTAAAAAACCCCCACAAGCTCCTCCCCATGGCCACATTTTCACTGACCATCTTTGATACTCTGAATCATCTGCTATGTTAGTAGAGGAGTTTCCTGTTTGCCGGAACGTACACAAGATTCCAGATAGAAGGGCATGCTTCAGCGTTCCAAGTATAACCGCTTCAGGAATGATTCGATGACATCAGTGGATGATATTGTCCATAACTGGTCCATCAACAGCAAGTTCTCCTCAACAGATACCACCTCAGCATCTTCACCATATCTGGACTCACCTGAGAACCTCCAGAAAGAGCATGATGGACACACCACCCTTTCCACTCTTGTGCCTAAAGCGTCCCACTTAAAACTCTCCTCCACAGGCAGCCTTTGGGGCATCAAGAGCCTCTCCTCTGCAGTGAAAGAGCTGGCTGTGTCCAAGTTGCAGAGTAGCTCAGCAGCAGAGACCTCAGACAACATATGTAGCCTTGCTACTTCCACCCTGTCTTCTCAGCAGGACAAGAACAAGATGAATACCGGAAAAAAATCATGGTCGGAGGAAATGTACCTGGGAGGTGAGGACTGGAATCAACGTGGCAGCACTATCAACAAAGTACCCCAAGGGTGGCTGCATTCAAATGAGAAGATCCTAGGACCTGGAGTGATGTACATTGTGAAGGTTGGTCTTTTTTCCCCTACGCTCTATTTTCTTTGTATCTGTTTAATAAAGGGGGGGGGATCTAGACACCAGCCAAATTGGCTAGAGGATTTTTAATACTAGTGTTTTATTTCTGGAAATCTGATGAAGACTGTTAAGTGCAAAAGACTTTATTATGAAACAAAAAACTATGTTAATTTGCTTTCATTAAGTGAGCATTCAAGCTGACTGCTTGGCAGTTTAAATGATTTAAAACAGTGGGAAAGAGCACTTCCAAAATTAAAGGGATTATATATCCAGCTCTTCAGAGCGCTGCATGTGTTTGTCTATATTCATTAGTATTGTCTCTAGAGAATCTGTAGTAGGTGAGGTAACATCTTTCCGTATGATAATTCTGATTTCAAACGTCAAATATCTCAAATGGAGTATGTGTGTGTGTGTGTGTGTACCAATACACACACAACTCTTTTATTTGCATGTCAAGGCTAGAAGAGCAACAGCTTGTAGAATGTGTCTTATTTGCAAACAGAAATACTCTTTCTTCAAGTGGTGCATTCAAAATGCAGTCTTGTTTTACATAACAGTCTTTAACAGGACTTTTTTTCTCTCTCTGTTCCCTGATAGTTGAGGGGTAGGACAAAAAAAATCCTTGTGCATTTCTAGGTTAGTTTTTTTATTCAATGTAGTTAAGGTCTCATCTGACCAGGTGAAGTCTAAGACTTAAGGGCAAAATTAATGATTTATTTTGTGACTGTATGCCGATAGTTACTTGGTTCTAAAATGGCACTGTTGAGAATGAACATTTATTGTAACAGAGCAGATTTTCATAAAAAATAATTTGATGTTTCATAAGATTAAGCAGAAGCATTGTATTTATATTTTATTTATTGAAAATAGGAATGATTATTTAAAGGGAAAAATTGTGATGTACCATATAGTACAACAGAGTGCAGACTTTTAATTTCTCATTGCTCAAGATTCCACACTGATTGTACTTTTATTTCAGTTATCTTCTTAATTATCTGTTTTAAAAGTTTGCTTTTATAAAAATAGGAAAATTGTTACTGTTTGTAATTTGTAATTGTTTGTAATTATAGCTGGATTACTTAAGAACCATATTTAATGAATAAATTGATCATGGCACGTAGAGTAAAATATGCTTCTCAATGCTATCTTTCAGAATATAGTACTTATTATTGGATAATGAAGGATATATATAATACGGTGTCAGATTTTAGAATAGCTATTCTGTATCAGTTGCTTACTGATATTCTGATAAAGCAGCGTCAAATTTCAGCTGACTTTAAAAACTTGATTGATGAGGCACTATTATTGGTGGATTAAATAATATGCTTGATAGAAATATTTTCATTTTAATTATTTATTATTGAAAGCTTCTCTTAAGCATTCGTGCTGACTTTTGAAAATAGAAAAACAAAGTGTATTCGTGATCTCAGTATATAATTCTAGTTCAGCAAAAAGATTATCATTATTGGACATCGTTTTTTGCTTCCTGCTTATGAATTGACTTGGAATGGAATAGAAAGTAGACCAGTATTATTCTGTTTGGTCAAAGTTTAATGTATTTAAAAGAGAACTGATATTTCTATTTTACTGAATTTTGTTTGCCTCGTATTTTTTTTCTTTTTTAGATTCCCTTTTTTCCATTTCCTTTTTTTATTATTAGAGCAATTTTTTTTTAAAAAAGTTATTGACATAGAGAATAATGGATTGTGATTCCATATATTTCAGATAGTTTGCTGCCTAAAGTGATTTTTTTTCATTTGTTTCCAGACTTCACTGATAATTATTCTAATAATATTTTATTGTTTTGAATTTTTAATGTTTCTGTTAGTCCCCCTGGTATATGTAAGACATTACATGAATACACAGAATTAAAAAATAATATAACAATGATATTAGTTTTCCTCCAAAAAGAAAGGGAGGAAGAAAGAACTAGAAATTTATCTTATGTCTGAAAAAATTCACAAACAGCTGAAAAATCTTCTTTCTTGTCTCCTTGTTGTTGATAATGATGGTAAACACATATCAACAGTCTTTTGCTGTAAGTCAGGAATAGATTTGTCTTTCTGATAATAAGAACATAATATATTTACATTATATAACAATAACATTATGCACAACAATTCTTTTTTAATGAAAATATCAATATACTTTTCTAAAGATGATTAACTGGCATATTTGATGGAATTTTCCAATGATCGACAGATTTTGAACATTTGTTGTTAGGGAATCAGATCTATTCTTCCTCCATCCTTGTAAAACAGAAACAATATTTTTTAGCATTGCTTGAGAGAGAAAAATAAGGATTTGATTAAGTTATGTTGGTGACAGGAAGGATGGCTATAGTTCATAAATGGAAGGAGATGAATATTCCAAATTTAAACTTTTAGTACTCCAAACTATTAGAAACAGTCCTAATTGAAAAACTCCAGGATACAATACATTAAATCCAGAACATTATATCATAACATCTCTTATATTTAACTTGGAAAGACTTTGTTTATCTTAATAACACATTCAGAATCCATTAGGAAACATTTATCTTCACCAATGTTAAATATATAGTGGGATAAACATGAATGATAATTTTGAAAAAGAAGATTTAATGAGAAGTCGTGAATCAGTAATGCATTCAGCAAAGATATACTGTCCATGTAATATTTTAGTTAATTATCTAAAAATTTGAGTATTTTTATTCTAACCTTCTAATTGTTAGTGAAGTAGTTTAAAATTTGCATTATCTATAATATTATACACAATGAATAAATGAAGGAATGAATAAAAGCAACTCATTATTCAGCATTTTGCTATCTTAGAAGTTCATTATTTTAGTATCCTTCATTTTAATAATGCACATTATTAATTCTCTAACAACTTATTAGTTTAACTACTTTAGATTTTGTCTAGTATTTTAATAACTAAACTTGCTTTTATACTGTTTGATCTGCTTTAATTTAAAGGATCTGATTAGAAATTTCCTTTTGCAATTTTCTTTCTCTCTGTATCTTGTTTAAAAAAAGTTTATATTATATACATGAAGCCAAGTAGAACTATACATAATTTTAGAAGTCAGTGATTATTTTTAGTCATATTAGCAATCCTGTGAATTTCAGCCAAAATGTGGCAATAAGGCAAGTTCAGACTGTGAGAATTGACATAACATTCAAAAATTCAGAAATTGGAAAATTAATTCTCACTCTGATGACATAACTGACAATCATATAAGATTAGAAGTTCAATAAAACATATTAATCCAAAGTGTAAAATTTTGGAGAAATTCAGTGTGAGTTAACATCTGTGTCAGAAACTTTGAGAAAATTACATCAAAAGCTTTCTTTGTATCTAAAGAAATAAGTGCAGAATTTGCATTAATTAACAATTTAACATTATCAGAAGCTTTATGACCGCACAGAAATCCAACTTAAACAGTTGTGCAATATTAGGAAAAAAAACAAGCAGCAAATCTATGAGCCAAGGTAGATGATAAAATCTTAGTATCTATATTTAAAGAAACAGTTGCTTCACTGGAACTTTAACACTTGGGAATGTGTGTGTGGGTGTGTGGGTGTGTGGGTGTATGCATTATTGAAACTGAGAAATAGGAGGAGGTTTGCAAAACATTTGATTTATATCACCTATTAAATAGAAGGAAAAATAATCAAATTAGCTGGGAAATCACCAAGATCAGCAGACTTCTACAAAACAGTAAATTTTAGTTATATTCACAATTTTTTGAAGACAGGGTTAGAAAAATAGTCCTGCAATAATCTCATTATCTATTGATGAAAAATTGAAACTGTTTAGTTTGAAGTAAAATTTTAAAAACCATTGAATAATTGGTTTAGAATCTATATACATTTCCCAAGTATACAATGGTACTGATGCAATTACTGAATTTGTTGAAGTATAAGGTCAGCATTTTCCTAGATTTTTCTTTCCTTCCCCAGCATCTATGCCTGGTGCAATGTAATAAAAACTCTGATTTGGCAATGTACCACTTGTTGAATTCATATTTAATAAAAGCCAGAGGTCTATATAAATTGTAATAAATGCTTTTGTTGCAGCCCATAGTAAAGCAATTAAATTAAAAAGGGGAAATGTGTAGCCATCTTTTTTTATTTGGTTACCGTAATAGTGCTTTATCATTCAAATATTCATACAAAGACTAGTTCAAAAATGTATATAAATTATTGCCAGGTGTGTCTTTTAATTCCACAGAAATATTTAGCATCTGTATGAGCTGCCAACTTAACATAACCAGGAATTAATTAAAGAAAAGCATTTTCTTTGTGCAGAAGAAAAGTAAATTCATGTTGGTAAGGATTATCACTTATCAGATATGCACGAGGTTAATTTGTATGTATTATAAATCCTGAAATATAATTTGGATTATATGGCAGTTGGTGTGATCTAATTAGGGTTCTAGAATATGTTAGGCTCCTTTCTATTAAATGCTACTGAAAGAAGATGAGGATAATAAATAAATTTAATAAATACATGGACATTGCTTTAAAATATATAGTACAATATATATTGTATGTATTGGAACTCAAAATGCTAATATTTCTTTTATCAGACATCCAGTATTCTTAGTGCAATGCAATACATCAGTTCTTATGATGGATGGAAACAATGCATTCAAGTCAATCCCTTTTCAATGCTGTAATATCTAACAGTTTGGAACCGTGAGCGTAACCTAACCTCAAGGATCAGTGGCTGAAGACAGCTAAAATCTCTATTGTTTTTTTAAACTGTTGTGAGTTTGCATTGATTTGCTGGTTTAAATTAATAAAAAATAAAAATTCAGGTGGTGCTTACAACCAATTTTCTCTGATAAAGATAAATATATTTTGAAAACTGATATTCAGTGGGTTTATAGTCGAAATATATAAGGTGAAAGTACATTTTCTGAAAATAAAATTAAGCCGTTTTTTTCAGCCTAATTTGCCATCTTAAACTCAGGTCCTTTTAAAAATAAATATAGAAAGATGCAATAT